ATGCGGATTGAAGAGCACGAGCTGTATAGTACCGAATCTTTTTCACGACCTCTCGCAGGCTGAACGTTATATTATAACATCTTATTTAGTAGACTGGCAAAATAAATACGATTATGATTTAATATACAGTAGAAAAATAAGTGATGCAAGCTACTTTAATTATCACGGTTATACCCACACTTGATCAGACAACATTTGTAACAACAGAGAAGAAAACCAAAGGAACTAATAAAGAGAATAGACGAAATACGTCCTATGCGGATAAAAAAGAAGGCAGATTCGGGGAACGGGGAGCTGATTATTCAAGTCCTACGTAAATTGAGTCATACTTATTTTATTTATAATACTTGATTTATTAGACGAAATGTAGCTTTCTCGTTACTTTAGCGAACAGTGATTCGTTACCTGCAGAGACGTCGGAAAAATGTGTTCAGACAGAAAAGATCTTCTACATGTCAGGCGATAAGAAACAACACGATCCGAAGTCAAAGTAAACGTTCGGGTTGTGGATTTTATAGTGATCCCGCCAAACTATTGCATTACTACAGACAAACCCACATTCCTCTACCAACTACTGACGAGTTTATTGTAGGAGGATCGATTGAATATGATTACCAGAATCATTATACAATATTGCTTGTCTGCTGCATAGCGAAAGGCCACAAGAAGTGACGTTGAGCACGCATTTACTCAAGAGAAGTTTGAACTTATATCGCGACTTACTTTGTTTGTATATTCAGTGTGTTTCTAGTGGCCATAGAGATAACAATGAAAAACATCTCGTTCAGTAGCTAATTCCTTAACTGTTTTTACATGTCTGTAAGTATAGAACATCGTCAGTAACAACTTCATCGCGGTCGATTTTACATTTAGAAGCGGTAAGTCGCACGAATTTTTTTTTGTCTTTAATCAATGCTGTGTTTCACACTGAGTACGCGTGCGTGAACAGTGGCTTCTCAGTACGATCGGATTACTGCATGCAGAGACAGAACTTACTGACTGTAAGTGGGCGTAGGGACCCAGATTGCTCTTCAGAGAGGAGCTACAGTGCCTGTTTCTGAGGTTTATCAAAGCACGGTTCCCGAATCACACATTTAATTAACGGTTGTATACATATAAACGGAAATATCTAAATGAGCAATTTTGAATATAGTGGTTTCAAAAATAGATCAAGCGCCTTGTGGAAAACTTATTCAGGGTAATTGTCGACTGTCGAAATGCTTAAGTCACTTGGCTTCTGCACCACGTCAAAACATTATCGGACTTTTACGGAACATTACGATAGCCAAGTTTACGGCTTGAATCGCGTACGTACCTACGCACGTACAGATGGTGTCGTAGTTCGTGTACCGCGCTGACGTATTCATTTATTTCTAAAAACTTTTCTTCCTAAGTAGGCTTACGGGAGAGTAGACTTACTTAAGAGGTTACAAACGACCTTGACAAAGTCATCATGTACTCGATGATCAGTTTAATGAAAACATCCCTTTATTCCCAAGTGCTCCTACTTCGAGTCCTATTTAAATGTTAGTAGTTGAACAAATAGGCAATCTGACGGGGTTTTAAGGTCAGCGATCTGTTCCATGCATGCAAGGCACGTGCTTTGCCTTTTTAGTGCGTACGACAGCAGACTTCGCCGAATTGTATGTGAAGACAATTTATTTACTGATTTCTGAAGTTTCGAGGATATTTCTAGTATTTCTTTATGTGTTACGACGTCTTTATGGCGTAAACACAAACACGTCCAGAACGCAGTGTCAATTCGCTAACCCAGCCTAACAGACCTAACTTAACCTGTTAGTTTAGACGGACCAGCTATGCGCTGATTGAATGTCTACGATTATTAATTAGTACTTGTTTATATATATATATATATATATATTTTTTTTTTTAATATTTAAAGTTGTTATCGTAAAAAAGGTTTCATATTTTATTAGATCCGTTGGATTTTAAGTTCTTCTGTTGTTTCACCAGCTAGACTCCTACCTAGTGAAGATATTAGAAGTCTATTTATGCAAAATCTAGATTCAAAAACATATGATGAGTATCTCGATTTTGAGATACAGCATATTACTTTGTGTAGGCTAAAACAAAAATGCCTTAGGTGCGTAAAAGTAGGCAAAAATTAATTTACTATGTTAATCTTTATGTTGAACGGGGTCGAATGTCTCTATACAAACATTTGTACCGTTAACCGTGAAACATTAGACGAAAATATATATCTAATAAATAGCCTTTTATATAGTTTTAGATAAGATAGAGGAAAGGCCAATAGAAATCAGTGGCCAACACCCTGTCTGCTGACATCCAATGTACAGGCTCTGTCATATGGTTTCTCGAAAGACCGGATTATCGCAACAATGAGCTAACGCCATCTTTGCTAGTTTGAGTCGCAAATCCCCAATATCGTGCCTGCACATATTAGAAACATTCTTGCTTTAAATCGGCATTGTCCTTTGCGACAATCTCCTAATAATTCATTATCACATAGAAATGGTAACACTATTAAAGAGTTGAATTTACAATTGAGTGGCACTCATATTATATTTCGAAATACTGATAGGTTTAAAAGTAGGCTGTAGGTTTGAAAAGTAGGCCTCTTCGTCGCTAAGCGACCCTTTCACCTTGGGCGTCAAGCGAATCATCTTCAGTGTTCTATTGCATCTTCATAGCAGATGCGCACAAGCCTACCTGCGCCAGGTAAAAAAAAATACGTGTGTTTTTCATTTTTTATCGATCAAATAACAGATAATAAAGCGGCCAGTTGTAATTAAACGTTTAGGCTAACATCAGTCTCGCGATCGAGTGGAGCGTACCAACTTTGAAAGCTGTGTAAGTATCCGAAATGCACAGCGAGAAATCAAATCGAAAAGCACAATGTACAATGGAAAAGACGACGAACGGATATCACAATGACGGCATATACATGGGGCAAATAGGTCGAGGAAGATAAAGAAAGTTGAATGAAGCCTTCGGTATTACGCCCGTTCTCTCCCCTCTCCCCCAGTCAAAAGGGCAGCTGCTCATCTGCCGAATATTATTCTGCTATATACGCGCGGATATATTCGACCTGCCGAGTTCCACTAGCCAGGAACAATTCGAAAAATTAAACTTCAATGAAAAATAACTCGATAATGCATTCGAGCAAGGTCCATCGCCAGTTATTACGTTGAATTTAATTTGTTTTTCCACCAGTTACTTGAGTAACGGAATTTAAAGCGTGCCTAACGTTGCGCTTTTGAGCTATGGATTTAGGCCTTAAAGTTACTAAGCGCCCTAAATGTGTGGATTACCGTCTGAATGAATAACAGCAGTATATCTTTCAATTAATGTCATTTACCTGATTTTCAGTATCGCGAGAGTAAATACGCTCGTAGTTCCAACGCCTAAACCAGCCGTTGAGCTTCGAGCAGCTTTCTTTAGAAATGCCCCAGCCTTACCTTAGGTAATATTAGCTTAAGCGCACAAGCATATATTTTTGCGTGAGATGTCCCTTTTGTCCCTTGCGCACTTCCAGTTGAAGTATTATAACGTTATCAACTTCCTCAACACTAACTTGTAATATTATTATGAGTTAAGATCTAACAGGGCCATACGAATAGAGTTTTATTTTGTTGCCTTTGTTTTAATCGTGAGGAATGTTACAACTGCATTGCATCGACACATAGGCCTCTTGGTAGGCCTGTTGATTCTCGCTTAGCTCAAGCAGGCACAGTAATTGTTACCACAAGGGCACTTCCTTCATATTCACGTTGAAATTTGAAAACGTCGCCGAGGCCTCGAATTTGTTTGTTCCTCGCACTTACGACAGCTTCACTAAACTGCTTCTAAAAAGTGGACCAAACCAGTATTCCAAGCAGATCATTAGCAAAAAGTAGCATTTTGCAGAATTGGTAAGCCAAACGAATTGTCCTCTTAGGAACGGGGTTTTTTACCGCGGTAGACAGCAGTTTATCGCGATCCAGTCGGGATAACTGGTTTGTTGTTACCTGCTTGCGGGTTATTAGCAAGGTTCGAAACGATTATGTTGGAGTTATCTTGGAGTGCTGTTTTTAGCGTACTGGAAATAAATACACTTTGATCTAGTAGTAGAAACCCCAGATTTCGCTCGGTTCCCCCCAAATTGTTCTCGAATACTCTTAAAAGTACAGAGAAAAAGTGTTGAGTTTTCTGTCCCGAAAGATCCTTCACACAATGCTAGAACAGCTGAATCGAGGCCTGTCGTAGAGCTAAAAAAATATACGTTTAGTACCGTTTTTAGCGTGGGTTTAAATTGTTTATCGGTTGTTCCCGCCATTTATGGTGCTTTTGCTGTCCTTCTAAAAGCATTTGCAATGAACATTTATTTCCCCATATGATTATTTATGATAAGACACATAATAATACCTTATAAAGAATTTCTTAGAATCGCCTCCTGTTTGTCGGGATAAGCCGTACCCTGCGTAAGTAAAAAAAACTCAAGGCGGAGCACTCAAGTTGACAAACTTTAATGAGCTGTTTGTCGTAATTGCCATGCATTATTAGCATTTTAGTATTAAAAAAAAGTGCTTCATTCAATGCAGAGAACTCGAACGAAGGTAAGCTATTATTCAATGTGTTCGCCCAGGATGAACCCTCATTCTGATTTTTGACTTCTTTTTATGCCCGAAATCCACGTTATTGCCAGTTTTCATGCGGTTTTGTGAAGACCGAGGAAGGGTATTTCTCGGACGCGAACCGGAAGGTCCTCAATAGAATTTAAGGAGCTTGAAAATCTTTTAGACATAATTTCAGAAACAACTCACAAGAAGAGTTGGGGTTTAGGTGCCCCACCCTGTATACCCGTATATACAATCTCACAGAGCGGCAATTATTCGGATCTGAAGTTAAACACACAGCAGCAGCACAAACAACAATACTTTAATTAAACAAAACTAAATAAAAATAGTTCTTTTACTACATGCTTGACGATAATTTCTAGTTGCTCATATCATTTTTTCTTCGGTGAGTTTTTGTTTCAGATGAAAAATAGCAGCGGCATAAACGTGGCCGAAGATTCGAGTGAAACGGAAGTCGACACTCCACCATCGACGCGTGCAGGTAAGAGCCAGTAAGCTTATCAAACCTTAATAGTGCAGTTTATCGATAAAAGGCCTAATTGTTGCATGAACCTTGAAAGGCCAAAAGCAGACGCGCTGCATCGACTAAGTTAAACGGCTCGCTGAATCTGGTTTACCTAATGATACGAAGAGTCTAAATATGATCCCAAAAATGTGTACAAATGACTAATTTGATACTGGAGTAATTACGGGTTCAAAAATCGACGACACCGTGACTCATTCCGATATGTTTGACGAGCTGATAAACACGACCATAAATTTCGAACCATGAGATTCTCATTCTGAAAAGGCCGCTCACATTTTAATAAACATGCCATACCAGCAATTCGTGGTTTCTTGTTAAGAATCATCCTTTTTCCTCACAACTAATCCGAGTGAACGTTAAATGAGAATGAATGGTAAAAACACAGGATCATTTGATAGATGCCTCCGAGTGTAGGGCACTCGGAAATGGAGAATGTTCAAAACGAGTTTTCCTAATTTTTTGACTAGGTTGTCGCTGGGGTATCGTAAGGATGTAGCTGGGATCATTCTGGGATACCTTGCGTCACTAGAAAGCTAAGCTTTCTGACACGGTTCATCTTCTTCAACTAGGTGCACCTATTAAAGTTCTACGATTTGCTGAAGAGGACAGTTAGGTCCTGTTGTTTATCTGACAAAAATGTAAATGTTTTTTCAGCTCGAGCTTATAGTCACCTATAAGCTATACATGTACACGCATTCTTAAGAAGATCGATCAACGTACAACTCCCAAAGAGTCAGAAAAGCGGCTCTTATTACTAATTATTCGTTGCTTTTCGTCGATCAACTACCGGAACTTTTGTTCATACCGAGGAGACCAATACAAGGAAAGCTGAGACAGACCTTGGCCTATTTTGATTATGCAGGTGTTAATCGTAATTATAAGTGACGTGGCCTATAAACAGGGTCTAAAAGCCTCCATCTCGCATTGTGTTCGTTTAGCTAAGATATCTAGAAGGATGATTTCCTTAAAATTCACTGTTGCTCAAGTAGACATATATTCTTTTTATTATTTTTGGCACCAACTCTTCCAAATACAGAAATCAATCTTCAGTACCGAGTATTTTTTGTATGCATAATACGCCAAACAAAAGAAGGGTTAACCAAATCACTGTGGCCTCGGGTGGCTGAGCTGGAACATCTTTTCTTGAGTCGTTTTGTCAAGGCGTGTTCAAGTTACTACATCTTTGAAATCTGTTAAGCACTAATCTCAAAATAACCAAGCATTTTTACAAGATCTAAATCGATCATTTTAGAACTGTACCAACTAGGAATATATTTTACTTGGGGATTTTTTCTTAGGTTTCTCATTAAAAAAATACGGTATGCACGTTTTGTTCCTCATTTGCCCTAATGTTTACATGTTACATGAAATTATCAAAATTACTTCTCCTTCAACGGGAAGATGGTTTAGTTGGTGGGGTACAATGAGGTCATCAAAAACAACATCATTCATTTACATTAGATAAGCTGTTCGATAATGAAATAGTGTTGGCAAGGTGGTTTGTAAATAGGACTGGCTCATTCAAAACGTAACCGCCATACCATTTGGGTACGATACAGCCGTAATACCATATTTCTGTTGAACCGTATTTGATTGGTCATGTATTACCACTGAAGCATTCGACTCATATCTGCCCTCGGATTTTGAAAGTTCGCCTCATCTGTGGCTTTTCATTTACATATCTCAATTGACCAGACCGTATAGAACAGTCGTTTATCAAGTTCCACATTCATGCGGAGCGTTTGACCTTCGGTGACAGAATTCACAGTATCCCATACAACTCTATATGATTTCTCTTTCACCTAATGGGTTGCACATATGCATGGACGTTTAACTCGACGGTAACCGGTCGTCGATCCCCACATAGCCTATCTTTTACTTTTGCGGTTTAGGACAATTTTTTAGGCTATGAGTGCAACGCTACTGCCATGTGGCTGGCTCGAATACGGCAGCCTTATGCAAAAGGCCAGTTACACATTGTTATGTTGCTTCGTGACTTTTCGGCTCTGAAAGTCCTTTTCCTATCACTTCGAGCTGATTTTCGGCGATCGGAATTCGTGAAAAAACGGTAACAAACTGATTGACGCATTTCTCTAATAGGGCTAGCGCAATTGATTTCTTTTTACAGGGAACTCGGCCAAAAAGAAGCTGCGCCGATTATGGAACAAAGACGACGGATATTGCTCATACAGCAGTACGCCGATCTCATGTGGTAAGCCGATCTGGACAGAACCTTTGCTCGCTCGAATGGCGATGCAAAATAGTTCCATCCGTCTACTGATAGTTACAATGATATTTGGAATATTGTTATTAATACCGGTCTGAACCGAAAATTTGCGTCATATCCAACATATACCATGACAATGTAGTTTGACTGTATTTGAAGTTCCACTATCAGCGTTGTTGGAGTAGCAGGTCTGGAAGCTGTATACAAACGAAATCAGGTAACTATGAAGATGTTTTATGAGCGCACCCACTGTATTAAATAGCCACACTGTAGACTAAAAGGACCCTAGCTCTAATCGTTTATAAGAACATGTCACTTGAGGCCTCCAGAGCCTATTCTCAGTGTCTGTTAGTAGGGCCAATATTTCGTACTGCTAGGTCATAAAAACAAATATTATATATGAGACATTGATTTTACGCGTGTAGGTCACGCGTACTGAGTGTATCTATGAATAAATTAATTGTCATTAATTTTAGATACAACAGCACTTGAACCATTGAGTTGTAGTGGAAGTCATACGGAAGTGGTGTTGAGCGTCCGGCCTGATAGTGGCACAGTCACAGGACAAGAGATCTCTGACAAGAAACATCTGAAGGATAAGCACCATAGCAAAGCTATCAATACGTCAGATGTTCTGCCCGATAGCGCAAATGTCCTGCGCAAACCGTCCAAAGACGTACGTACGTGCTTAAGTGTAAACAATAGTTTCTTTCATATTTGACCATACGTCCTACAAAATCCATTTCATTAATCTGCAGTAGAATGAAATTCTATATAGGAATTAGGTCGATTTCGGAAAGATTTTTCACTGCGCTGAAGCGTGCAGTGTTTAAGAGCAGCCAAATCGGCAAAATGGCATTGGATACTTCCCTTCTAAAGAAGGCAGTTAAAAATGATGCTGTCAACTTTTTATAATAACTAAATACTGGAACTTTCATTGCGTGCTCGGCACCTTTGGAGGCTTCTCACCGTAGTCACGTCAACGTAGTAGCCAATGAGAGACCACTTGACTGATCACTGAGTAAATACATTAAACGTACGTATAAAGCTAGAATATTGTTTATGTCCATGAAGAATTGCTTGTACGGAACGAGAGTGTTACAGACTTCATTGTCTACCTCTTTAAGAGGACGAACGAATATTTTCCCTGTCGAAACAGCTGTATCGCCCTATAGATGACTAGCCAAAAAGTAGAACATAGGCCATGCCACGTTTCGGTCCATTAGTTTGGATCTCCCTTTGTGGGCCTATAGAAAAAGTATCAAAGGAGATCCGCATTTCCTTTCTACTTCTGTCAGCCGACAGGTAATTTTTTGTCTCGACAGAATTTTCTTCGTTGAAGGTTTCGACCAGTGGTTGGTCTGTGAGGAAATCGTTTTGCAATTCGATCCGAATCGTCGTTTTTCGATCGCACAAGTAACGGTACTAGGCTTCAGTGCCCGTATTACAGAACCGACGGGGATTTGAAGTCCAAGTTCGAAACGTGTAAGGACATGTACGAGCAGAAAAAATTTTGAGCCTTCTAGAGATAAGGTTATTGGTTATTTTTCTATCTACACGGCTACGGTGAGGTTATCTATAATATGAATTGTCTTTGATTTGTGCTTTGTGTACCACTAGACTTCAAGTTGCTCCGACGCAGGGGACAGGGCCGATGAACGACCGCAGTGGCAATCGAAGGCAGATTTTTTACTTTCAATTATCGGATTTGCCGTCGACCTCGCTAACGTCTGGCGTTTTCCTTATCTTTGCTATCGAAACGGCGGAGGTGAGTTTTCCCTGATGCGGCAAAAATCGGTTCAGGATACTTAGATCCACGGCTAGTTAATATATTAACTCACCGTTAGTACGGTAATATGCCAGTTCACATAAGTTCTACTGAAAGGAATAGCGCAACATATCACTGAGCATGCTTTCCATTTCAGGCGTATTTTTAATCCCATATACGCTTATGTTGATCTTCGGCGCTTTACCACTCTTCTATATGGAGCTGGTCGTGGGGCAGTACAACCGGTCGGGGCCGATCAGCGTGTGGAACATGTGTCCTTTATTTAAGGGTAAAATCATACGTGAATCATTTGAAGCTTATACTCGTTTACATAGAGCAAAAATTTCAATTATTAGTCATTGAAAAAGATTAGAACATTTGCAGAAAGGCTAAGCTCATTCGTCTGCGGCGAGAAGTTTTAATGTAACCCTTCTTTGCAGGCGTGGGCTACTGTGCAGTGTTGATTTCGTGGTATGTATCGTTCTATTATAATGTGATTATTGGGTGGGCAATCTTCTTCGTTCTGTCGTCGTTTACATCACAATTACCATGGTCGACTTGCGGCAACCCCTGGAATACGCACACCTGTTACGCGGGTGACACGGAATCCGGAATTGCTCCTGCCAATAGAACATCGGCAGCTCTTGAATTCTTTAAGTAGGTGAACCGAGAATATACGAAACGAAAATGCATACCATAGTTAGTATGCAATAAACCATTCCACTTCAACAAGCTCTTACCACACGTGTCCGTACATACGCATATCATTCCTTGCTACAACCTATTCTTCGGATTTAGTCTAGAAGGGGTAGTGTACTTGACATCCGCTTCGCCAAAAACAATCTTTGGAGTTAGACTACTCGCAGATGAATTACTACTAAGAAAAATGTCTAAATTATTTGAAACGAGCTCTGTGAAAGTACAGGGCTTTGTCTTCCGTGCAGTTAAATCTAATAAATCAGAACACAGTATAATATATATATATATATATATATATATATATATATATATATATATATATATGTATATCCTGATACCTCCTTCTTGGCTTGCTTTTCTCTCATAAACGCTATCATCATCGCTATATTTTTTTTAACACCGTAGGTAGGTAAATGCTTAAATATCTGTGACGAAAATGGGACTGCGCTATAAGGATAAACGGGCCTACACAGTGAGATATTGCTTTTCTACAAATGGTACAAATAGATCTATTTACTCAGCTACGAAATACGTTTCGATATTTATTAAGCTACTGGGCTTTGAAACTATACAAGGCGAGTAATATCTGCCCTAGCTACTAATGCACAACAACCCCTGCAAATAGATATCATTTTGCGAAGAAAGGTATCATTTGAAAGTATTCTTCTCCACTGAATCGGGATTATTTTCAAACACTTTCGTATAGGGCCCTATCAATATCGCAACAAAAGTATGATGCAAAAAGTTAACAGTTTCGCTATAAACGGTACTTTTCCATGTTGCAGTCGTGGCGTTCTTGAGCTGCACACATCTAACGGAATGCACGACTTGGGACTCCCTAAATGGCAACTTGTGTGCTGTGTGTTCTTTGTGTTCTGCATCCTCTACTTTGCGCTCTGCAAAGGCGTTAACTCGTCGGGAAAGGTAGGTCCTTACTTAGCCTGGGCAGGCCAGTGCTACAGCCAAAATTTTTGAAATAAATCCTACAACTCGTGTAAACCCCCCAAAAATAAAAACTTGTAAGTCCTGATGGCACGTAATGCTGATTATAGGTGGTCTGGTTTACCGCAACGGCTCCATACGTGATCCTGACTATCCTCTTAATACGAGGAGTTTTTCTACCCGGCGCAGCCGAGGGAGTTCGCTACTATCTCCGACCAGATATCTCAAAATTATACGACTCTAACGTATGGGTCGACGCTGCTGTACAGGTGACTATTGCACGATTTCTGCAGGGCACCACTCAATGAACTACGTCAAATGCTGCGTATGTTTGGAACGAGATATCGCGTTCAAGCAATAGCACTATAATCATTGAAGAAAAAAATAAATGGCATAAATTAATATAAAATAAATAAAATTACATAAAGAGTAGTAGGGAAACCATACCAATCTTCACATTGTTTTCTTAAAGATGTAATCTTCGGTAAATATTTTCTAGCTTATGCGTTTGTTTATTTTTTTGCGGTTTTGCAATAATTTTTCAGTGAAACACAACATCAAGTTCAATACAAGTGGCGTTAATAACATTAATTGTACCTTCATTATCTAGTCTTGCGTTTGGAAGCTTGCAGATCTAAAATGTGCTACTAATAACATCATCTCTCATTGACCATCGAGCATTGTCTCATACGTATCGATCAGTCCTAATTCCAGTAGATATGATACACAATGTACGGAGAGCCATTCAGTATCGTCCCTACAGACGAAAGTTCGGGCAACATATCCGTTCCTTCCTTAAAATAGGCCTTCGGGATAGGTAGACGCACTACACTAATGTCTAGCTTATAGTTAGATAAATCATTTTTTTCGATCGAACAATTCGCGCGTTATGTATAGGACTCCTAGAGTTTGCCCTATCGAGCATGATTACGATATGTTAATAAATAATAATATTTTATGAAGTTTTTTTTTAGCGCCTTGATTGTCACGCTGTTATTTGTTTGTTTCATAACCCCAATTAGGTGTTTTTCTCGGTTGGTGTCGGATTTGGCGTTCATCTAACATACGCGTCGTATAACCCCTTCAATAATAATTGCTACAGGTAATTAAAGATGCCCATTAAAAGCCAATACGTTACACTGGATGTTATTTTTCATTGCCCAAGACGCACTGCGTAAATACTGTCTCAGCTAATTCAATGTTTACTGCCGTACAGACAAAACAAAGAAAGGGATGCCCCAATGTAGTCCCTCTCAAATCGTTCCGCGTATAAGGGCGAAAATTTATTGATCTGTTTCTGTCACTTACGTGCCGGGAATAGGCGCCTTCTATTCCATATGTACGCGCATAGCACAATCAGAACTTCTTTACCATATTTGTCTAATTCTAAAACGCTTAGAGCTGTACTCTATAGTGAAGAGTATGCAAGTCAGTGGTTTTCGACACTGCGTATTTTCAGAGATTGCCTGATGACGGCGTGTGTCAATAGCGGAACGTCTTTCTACTCAGGTTTCGTGATTTTTGTTTATCTCGGATATATGGCTCAAAAGCAGGGCGTACCTGTCGACAAGGTTGGTTGTCAATAGAATCAGACTGCATGAAACTATAACGACGTTATCAATCATTTTACATTTCTCACAAAATCGATTTGTTCCACTTTTATGGTAACAACAACAAATTTATAAACTTGTATAGTATTTGTACTGAATTACAATTATAACGGTAACCGTCAGTATGCAATTTAACGATTATATATGGCATAATAATTCCTGATATATATGCTAGGTGGCGACGGAAGGTCACGGATTAGTGTTTCAGGTTTACCCTGAAGCAATTTCTACGTTGCCTGGAGCGCCATTCTGGTCGGTCCTTTTTTTTGTCATGCTGCTCACACTAGGACTCGACAGCGCCGTAAGTGTCGGCCCTCTCCGCCACGATCGTCTACGTCTATGTATCTATTATTATATTACATTATTGGCAATTATCTCTACCTTGGAACATCTAAGTTCGTTAATCAGTTGGCAACAACGGGTTATATGAGTGGAAATGTTTCAAGTTAATTGCGAACCTGTAGTGGCTATATCGTACAACGTACGCATCTATGTTTCAGCTTCTAACTTGTATGCATCTTGCTTAGATGGGTGGTCTTGAGTCTGTGATTACAGGCCTTATGGACGAGTTCAATTTCCGCATTGGTAAATATAAGATTCCAAGAGAACTGTTCACGATCTGTGTGCTCTGTGCCTCGTTCAGCATGTCGATGGTCAACGTTACGCGAGTAAGTTACTTTCTGCATTTATTGACCATCTCTTTATGGAAATATTACAACAAACTCGGAAAGTGTGAAATCTTGCTATTTGGCGCCCATTCGACCTTAAACAACTGTACTTTTGTGCTCTCAGGGAGGCGGTTATATGGTCACGTGGTTCGACACGTATGCAGCAGGTATCAGCCTCCTCTGCTCGGCCCTCTTTGAAGCTCTCGCAGTTTGTTGGGTGTACGGATTGGACCGCTTTGCTGATGATATCCATCAGATGCTCGGTTTTCGACCCGGCCTATATTGGAAGTGTTGCTGGAAGTTTGTCTCGCCAATCTTTCTCGTCGTATGTATTCTGAAGCAGAGCGGTTCTCACTATGATTAAGGAACCAACCAAATGAGGATCCTGGCTAACATGTTACCTCAACAAATAAAAAATGCATGTCCCGCCAACGGTTTTGAGAACCGGATCAAGAGATAGCAGGATGAATCCTGAATTGCTGTTGAAACTGATCAAGATCAACAACCGTTGCTCGATAATCTATTAGGAAGCTCACATTCGTTCGTACAAATGACTCTGGGAATTGGCCACAATCAGCGGCATCCTAATCTAAACTAGTTTTGATACTTTACGGATGCCTACAATGACAGAGGCATCCATTGTAATAATTTTCTTAAATGGCACATTGGACTTTACATGTCAGAGATAATTGAGAAGCTTATTTAGGTGTTTTTACAATTTTAGACTTGTTTTCTTTCTAAATGATGTGTTCCGTATGCCGAATTCATGGAAATTCCTTTCACTCTCAAGCCGGTTCTATAGATAAAAATAGGTTTACAATGGAACAGAACAGAGGTGTATAGTTGAAGCAAAAAATGAATTTTTCTTAAAGACATCACCTAATAAACTGAAAGGCATATAAACGAGGAAAGATATTTTAAAAATACAAATCAATTAGAACACCACTTGATTATCAAAGCTGCGAATTGAGCATTGGACAAAAGCCAACTGTTCAAACATTTTATTGATATTGCGCTATATTGATGTACCTTTTAGACCGTTATTCTATCAGCGATCTTCAACTCCGGTGTAACCGAATATAACGGCTATATATATCCTCCATGGACTGAAGGTAGTTATCATATAAATCTGTTATTTAACTGTTTTAAAAAATTACAAAAACTTGGTGTTAATTTTGGTTTCATGCTTCTCTACAATGTACAATATACAGAGTACTACCATGTATTTCAAATGAAAAAATTAACAAATCCGTCAGACGTTAGCAGACTGCCTAATATTTCATCATCTGCGTTGAATGTTTGTCAAACGATGTTTATTTTTAGGTGTTGGTTACTTTTCTTTAATAAACAGTTCTTCACTACATGTTAGTAAAACAGGTAGCTGATGAAGTCGATCCACCGCGATTATATATATATATATATATATATATATATACAGCGTAAGCACACATAAGCCTCACAAACTAATTTTGGTTGCAGAATAATAGTCTCTGTAAGTTGATTAGCGATATCATACGTCATATAAATTGTAGGGGTTTCTTGGGTTCAAACTAAGCATCGTTGTTAAATCATATCTGATTCTGTATTTTACAGGCATGACACTCAAAAGATTGCTTTTATGCAAACGTTGTTTTCAGGAATCGGATGGGCCTTCGCTCTTTCATCTGTAGCTATGGTTCCTTTAATAGCAGCGTGGAAATTTGCTCAGGCAAAAGGATCTATAAAAGAAGTGAGTGTCGTGCTTATGTAGCACCTGACGCAAGATTTATAGAACATTCATTATACGACTTATTTTAATTTACTTTATTTTAATTCATTTTAATACTTAATGATTTAAACAGTTATAAGTCAGCGTAACTTGAAAACTGAAAGCATCTGTAAAATGCGAATTAATCAAATGGGGCAAATGTTGACACCCAATGTCATGTCGCATTCTTCTGTGTTTTTCTTTTGCTTTGATTTTTAACCGACCCTTGGTCTGAGGTGCGTCATAACTCAGGGCTCTAAGCTTTCCTGAAGCGAAGTGCGGAAGCCGTGAGGCGCGCGCTCAGCTTTGTGAACTTGCAGCCATTTTATGTACTGCTCCTACCTTGCTGGCATGTGGTGGCCTTTTATGTCTCATATGTTAACGATACGATGCTTCATAACGTAAGCGTCATTCCCGTGAAAGTATGTTCTCCAAAAAAATGGTTTCCTGTGAACTACTCAGACGAAACTATCTGTAAGCCTCTAATTTAACATATCAATATTTTTTATGATAACAGTAACTACCAACACGTTGCACTCTGCCTTCAAGGATATTGTTTACTCACATATTTGCTTTAATTTTTTACGTTTACAGCGTTTCAAGGTGACGACACAACCAGTTCGAGACGACGATCATCCTGGAACTATCCGCGAACGGCAGAAGAATCCGATTGCGGAAGTCTGAGCCTACCATAGTATCTGGATACTTTAAAATCACAGTCTTCAACAGCGGATTCTCGCTATTATTTCACAAAGCACGTACACGATTCTGGAGAATCTTGAGCACCGTACCAATAGGACATGCTCCTTTTAAATTCTACTCCAAGAACAGGGAAGGGATTAAGAGACAGGGGTTTATGACTCTTCGAAAAGAAATGTCTTCAGAAGAATCGTCATTTTTATGGACGGTTAGATAAGCCAGAAAATTGAAACTAGCTCCGATTGATACCAGAGATGAATGACAAGCATGCTGTCAACAAACCTTTGGGCTCAGCGTGCGACTGCGAGTGTATCCGAGCAGCTCGAGGAGGTGCTAAAACTTAATGCCCATACTGGTTGTACTTTCAAGCAGTATATACACTATCTTTTACCTCCAAAACAACTGTGGTAAAGCAGCTTGTGTAGGGTTGGCAAAAAAGTAATACCACCTGCTACGTAATGTTGTCCATTCTGTATGATCATACGTTCCTTATCTCATTTTAACATCGACCAACCTGAGTGTAGGTACAGGAAACAGCCTGCTAACGAAATCTGTAAATATTGTACTATAAATGAATGCAACCATAACAGATTCCTGCAGAAAGCCTAAACAGGTATCAACGGGAAGTTCGGTGTTCACCTGTCCTTATGGCAATCTGAAGCCTAAAACGACTTTTAGGTACAGCTGAAGCGGTGAATTAACGTCACGTCAGGGATACAGAGGACACTGATTCACAAACTCGGCTTGCATAGAGCACGTTTACGTAACGCAAAGCTCTTTATATTTCACTTACTTTCAGAAATAGTTTTGTTGATTATGTACAGCAGTTCTATTCCTACCATCTCTCCATGTATATAGATTATATAAATATATACAATGTAAATAATAACGCTATAAAAATACCCCTACTGGAAGCATATTGCGTTAAACGTTTTTTTTTTTTTTTTTTTTTATGAATCAGTTCATATGATTTTTAGCGTATGCTTTACGACATGATAAGTAATCTGCACTGCTTGTCTAATATTCCTGAAAATTTAATTCTATTTATTAGTAATGCAGCAGCAGATACAGTTTGGTCCACCGTAAGAATACGCACGTACTCCTTATCAAATATTTGCAAGGCTATACTTAAAATAGGCATTTTGAGGCTGGTTAGCCCTTCGTAGAAGCCGCTGTCTACCATGTGCTCCCTTTTTCCTTTTGCCATGTGTCAAAATGATCTTCTTTGGTACCAGGCTGTAATTGAGCCATGCTTGTTTTCAATCGCCTAGATGCTCTGTCCTCACAATCCATGAAATCGAGCCTAAATGCAATGAATTTAACAAGTTAAGCCATCACCATCGGAGGTGCAATAGTCGTTTACTTTAGCGCCGCAGTAGTGGTCAGGCTCGAACCCACAACGATGAGATGTTTGGCTCCTCTCTTCAAAGGTGTTTCAAGTCATTTTGATTTTTAATGTTATATTTAGCTTTTGAATAACTGTTTTTGGCCAGTGTGAATGTATGTAACGATCAAATTGAGAGTACTTCTCACAGTGCCACAAGCCGTTTGGACCTTTGCGGACATGTTGGTGTTGGAAGGTTTTGTATTTATAAAGATTTGTGCAAAACTTTTGTTGGGCCAAAAACTATAACATACCAGGAATGTCCCCGACCCTTTTAAGGGCAAGGCTCGTTTAGGTCTGAACACATACGTCAGATACCTGTAAGATTCTATTATTCTAGCTATATATAGGGTCTTAGTAGATATTATAGCTTATCCGCTTTCGTTCGATGAATCGGTCGCTTGCCACGTTCGTCTTTAACATCTAGATATGTCGAATTGAAAGAAAAGATACCGATATGTTCTGTTGTAAACCAGATAAAGTACTGATAGATTTGTTAGTTCGTATGCCATGACGCTCGCACCCTTGTGTCCTTAAAACTAAATAGCGCCAAAATTAGAAGATCGAGCTAGTGTCAAATGCTAGTCCTTATAAATGCATCCGTGCGGTGTGAAAACAACATAAATTCAGATTAAATAATGTTTTATCGGTCCATTGACGGCGGCGATGAAGGAAAGAACTGTATATAAATGAAGCAAAAACTTCCAGCGCCAACCCTATTACTTTTGGGAAAGGGGTTTATTGTAACGCTAAATTGAGATGAAGGAGCCCTGTTGGTGCGCATTTAGTGATTCAGGAACCCAAAAACTGCCAGTTGCCCTGTTGGACCTTTTTACGGCGGAAAAACCTTATTACTTACTTATAGCTGGTTCATGTTAAAAATTATAATTTTACTTATATATAGAATTATATCACATCCTATAGAAGCTTCAATCAATGTTCCCTCCCTTGTCAAATGGCGAACACCCATGGAGAGAATATAATGATTTTCGGACAAAAGAATACTCCTCGTTAGCAGTTCGAGAGAACCACTAAGCTGCAGCATCATGTAATAAGCAGACATGCTTTTCCTAAGAACAAAAAGTTTTTATCCATCTTGAAAACGAAATTCATTAGTAACTTATCCTTAAACTTGTTAGTCTAGATAATTATAGTTAATACCAAATGCTTCAGAGCGGAGCAAAACACGGATCGGAGAAATGTGGATGTGTTCAGATTTACGTAAGGGCGGCGGTAGTGCGCTGGCCTTTTATTGCCAAGTTGTATTTTTGTCTATTAGAAAGCCGGACATCTTCAACTCGTTTCCGACAGTGTGGCTACGCATGGCGGACGTTTAAGTGAAGTCTTCTGCCCAAAGTGAGTACTCTTTAGAAATGGCTTGAGACAAGCTACATGTGAACACGAAGTCTATTTGGGGCAATATATGCATCCGTTTCTGGGCAGTCTTCGCCTAAACGAATGAAATTATTATGTGGTAGGGGCAGTATGTAAAATTTCGTAGGTATATAGCGAACACGTTGAATATAGCAGGTTGTCGCTTGAGGTGACGGTCATGAAATGTTTGCTGCACTGACAAATACGTTGATAAAGCCGCTAGATAGTTAGACGAAGACGTATTTTGAATTGTTTCATTAATCTGATGGTTGTCCATTTGACATATAGACTTGCTCACTGTATTCTTGTTGGTGCTGTGACCATTGTTACCACGATCGCATGAATGACCATATACAGATATAGAGCTGATAAAGCGTTGCAAAGTACCTTCATCATTATTATTTACTTGTGCACAATAACGTTGCTATATACATGGTTAGTTGATGTTATCTTTAAGAAATTTCGTCTGCTAGCTAGGAGTTCGTCCTTTGCTATATTTCTATTAATAATTGATCGTGCAACAAGAATGCGAAACATAGTATCAAGGTGTCGTACAGGTGATTATTTTTCTATGATGAGGCCCTTTTCAAATGTACCACACGACAAAATCAACAGTTGTGTGTACCACTGATTAACGTATCAGTTCACCATGTGACAGGACAGCTTGCTATGATTTCCCTGCTATATTCATTATAAGTACTTCCTGTTCTTCAAAGGTGTCAATTTTGCATGGGTGTGTATGTGTATATCCGTGAAGTAACCTCACTCAGAATTCCTTCTGGCTATCGAAATCTTTTTTACGAAGTATGTGCAGGCCAGTGATTTTGATGTTTTTTGTTTTGCTTTTTCGTTCTTGTCCGCGTCGGACAGAGAGCGATTGTGCAGATGCAACGATATACAATGTTCTACATTTCACAGTTTTTAGCTATAGAATCATTCGCAAACCACAGTGGCCTGGATTTACCACACCTATAGCTAGGTAGGTACGTCCGTACGCGGGGCGAAAAAGGTGTTTAGCTAGATATCTAGAGTAGATTATCAGCTGGGTGAAGACAGCGAAGGCTATGTTGACGCCCATGTTTCGATAATGAGATTCGAGTCGAACCGCTCGCCGCAGGCTACCCCATTTAACTGAACCCAACTTATCGCCTTCCTAACGAAGATATTTTTAACGAATAGGTATAGTGCATGTTAGCTTTTCGTTTACATGCAAGTACAGTGGTAGACAAACGTTAAATAATTAACAAAAACCACATTAAACCGGACCCGCAGCATGATTGAAAGATAGGTATATACTGTGGCCTACATAGACGTTCACTAGAATTAGGACATTATTCTTGTTCTAGTTGACGGATAGCAAACTGAGGTCAAGCTTGCAATAGCCATCTGTGGACTACGCTATTTACTGTTATCAATTGGGCAATCTAGGCTTGAAGCTGGTTATAGACATAGCAGATATGTAAACTCTATATCCACTGAACCTCACGTGATTCTCTAGTCCACAGTCGAGGCGAGTTCGCTCTTAATGGTAAATAAAAAAAAAAAAAAAAATACGTAAAATAGTCATATTAGAATAGAATGCCGTAAAAGAGGGAAACGCAAAAAGTGGATACTATAAATTAGGACAAATAGCGCGACAGTTACGCAACGATATCGAAATGTTTAGACCCTTATCGTTTGTATATACCGCCAAAACAGTGTATTATCGCAATAACGCTTAAGTGTGCAATGGCGATATCATCATATTCATATCACTCAGAAATTGGTGTCCCTATAAACGGATAGCTATGCTTCTAATAATAATAAAAGAACGACGAAGTATATTCAATAGCAGTGCGAGCGCATAATTCCATCCTGAGTACAACATTTGCGTAGTAAGGCAAAGACTCACTGATTACGTAACGGTTACGGCAGTGACGAAGATCGCGGTTGCCAGGTAATTAGATGATCTGGTAGACGGTATGGCGCGCGTTTCTTGTCCAACTCTGGTCAGGAACATCTTTGAAATACTCGTGCTCTCGTGTATACGGTACGGGCTTCTTACGTTGTCGGCTAAGCGAGTGCTTGTAGCTGAACTACTGTGTAGGATTATGATTAAAAAAGGGCACGTCATAAGAGTCGTGTACTGTAAAATAGGACATTCCAAGGCGCATTTATAACGAAAAGGTATATCTGTGTATAGAGCAATCCCAATTCCAAATAGTTTATGTTTACTATTGTATCACAACAGTGAAGATGTGTAAGCCCAATGGAATATGGCGTCAGTTTTGGAGGTGTAGAACGGTGTTGTCATAGCACCAGAATCTGTAGTCAAAGACGACAGTGAGTAGATGTATCTATGTCTATGAAATACATCGACGGATAATGTGACGGCTTGTATAATTATGATTACGAGAGAATGTGGACTCTGAAAAGCCGTTGAAATGTTACAATTTTTACGTACTATAATCTGCCACATTGGACATGCAAGGGAATAAATGTAATTCCCAAACGCCGGTCGACGAAGTCTGCGAATTAGAGCGCGGCACTTCCTTTGAAAAGGACTAATGTTGAACACAAATAACATAAGTAAAAGGCAACACCGACAAAAATAACGTTACGTCAAATATACAATCTATTTATGATACTTAGCACATTTAATCCATCTATATACAGTAACGGGTTATTCCTTAAAAATACTGCTGTTCGCATAGATAGTAAGTAATAAGATAGCCCATCACCTACCTCTATATATATATATATATATATATATAAGGTACGGCATCTAAATTGGAACATATTTTAGCGGGGTGTTGTCGTAAGGGGTGTGCGTTCGCCCGCTACTCCTGGTACCTTGGTACGTAAGTTTGCTTCTGCTAGGCGAAAATAATAAACCGTGCCGCATGGTGGAAAACGATGCGTCAGTCCCGCAATTTAAGAGAAAATGAACTATTATCGAGGATATTTGTATGGGACGAAGACCCACCAAGAGCAAAGTTTTCTTCCAGATTTCCTAGAGTCTAGATTGTGAACATCTTTGATACACTGAGATATGGAAATTAATGACTGTTCCAAAGAGGAAAATATCGACTATCAGTTCTTCCTATATTAAGCTATCTGCAATTCTTTTCTTCCAAATTTGTAAAGCCTTTTTGTCTTTATTGAAATTTTCTGTATGTAGCGTTTTCGAGCAATACCTTAACGAGTTTACAGCAGCCGTTATCGCTTGAGATACTTGCAGACTGAAGAAGAAGTATTTTAAAAATGAGAGATACACATATATACAAAATGTTTTATTTAGACGCAGTCTCAGAGAAAAGGTTCCAATTTAGGTGTTGTGTATATATATATATATATATACATATCGTCTAACAGACTGTGAACTTATATAATAAAAAAAACAATACAACAACTAAGTCTGTGGACGGAGCCGAATTAATGCAATTCGTAGCGATGTTTTTTTTCTGGACAGAATAAGCTTATTGTTTATAGGGGGCGTACCTGCGCACACATAAAATACCCTGCATAAAAGTAAACTATGTACAAGTAAATGTGCCATTAGATTTGTCGACCCGGCTTAGCTGCCGCATAATGTTCTAGTAACAACTGTGTACTTCTGTCTGTGCTTCATCAGAGGCGACACAATCAGTTCTCTCTCTCTCTCTCTCTCTCTCTCTCTTCGTCCTCGAAAACAACGTTTGTCGCGCTTGTGCGATTTCTATAGCAGAAGTAAGGCTGGACTGATATCAATAGACAGCTTGTCTCGATTCATACATAGAAGGCAAACAGGTTGGTTAGTTTTACCGGGTAGAGATCAGTCATATATATATATATATATATATATGAGCGGTGTTCTCCAAGGTTCTAGCGATGAGCGTACGAGAAGCAGTGGAGCTATGCATCCAGCCATGATGAACGTTTCTTAAGCATATAATAATAAACCCTCCATAATATGTTAACCCTAGACAATTTTTTTTCTATTAGGCATCGTCTCGTAAATAAGATCTATTAAATCAGCTAATATCTAATTTAGGGTTACGACGATGTACACAGATATATATATATATATATAGCAAGCAGTAAACAGTGGCTTTCTGCAATGTATTATACTGACAGCGGTTATAGTTAGAGTAGTCAGAATCCTGACTAAAAATATCGGCTACTTAAAGTACCAGACACTAGTTAGAAATGGAACGTTACTTGATGAAATCACGAACGCATCTATTTAAGACACAACAAACAGAGAGGTGCGGTTTATTTCATATTACTTTACTTACTAATGAGCAACTGGTGGGGTCACTCATTACAATCTCCATTGAATTAGAGGAAACGTACGGTTTTTCTACGTAAGGTGATCAACTGGGTGCTGCACCGGTTTGCTGGTGACGACTAATATTCTCTTAGCGTCATTCTGAGTGAAATATTTCCCCGAAACGAATGTGAATCCAACTAACACTCTGCAAATAGTCGTCTTTGAGGTAAATCCTGGACTGTTGGATTCGAACTCAGGTTCCTTCGGGGGCATCAGGAGCGCCGCGTAAAAAACGACCCTATTTAGTACTGCCCATTTTCGAACTATCAATGTTGTCGCATATTAATAGCTAGGTCGGGCTTTGATGGACGAAATCTTAGAAAGCATCTGAAGTACATATTCGTAAATGTAAACGACGCAGTACATTACTAGTGAACAATATACGGCGCGCACTACCGAAAATGAAGACCGGGAAATAGAACGGCTGATGATCAACAATAGTCGTCTGAGCGAAACGTATGTACAGCCGCTGTTCTCGGAAAACATCATACGACACCCAACATGATACTTATCAATAGTAGTATCCGCAGTCGCTATTGATAAAAGCTTCAACAAAAAGGGAAATTGCACATTTATATATATATAAGTCTATAATCATACGATGAAATTGTAATAAAGAAAAAAAAAACATGATGACTAGTGAAGCTAATATGAGACAACGATTTACACATTTAATCCTTTTCCAACTCCTACCTTCATTAACCTCGTCAATAAGCAGAGTCCTATGAAAAGAATAGGCAAAGTCGAAAAAAACAAAAGGACAATTAGGATAATAATGCTGATGATGACAAACAGGCATACACAATGAGCCCATACAAAATGAGCGTACACGTTGGGAGAGTGAAGCGTGTGATGGGGGGTAAAAGTATCCTCAGTCAATGGCCCCAAAGTATTAAACTTCGAAACCGTCCTTGTAATTTTGTGCGTTTTGTTAAAGATGAAACGTTCCCAACGCAAATAAAGATGCTTATAATTAACGCGGCTAGTTTACAGCCTCTCTCTAATAAAAGCAGTTGAACCGAATATCATCGATATTGATAAATACTGAATTGAATATTAGATATAAATAATTGAGATAACAAACAAATAAAGGCTTTGCTAAGTTGCAGTTAGGCAATGTGTTTTTTCCAATACGAATCGGCTGCTTGTCATAGGTAGTAAGTTTACCCAAATATCAATTAACATAAATATAACTTGAGGAAGCTGTCAACATGTCAATTGCTGTTGAAACGCTATGAAGGTACATGCTGACGCGTAATCTATGCGTCTGCATAGTCTGTGAATGTTCCGTGCAATCGTGCAAAGTACAACGATTTGTCCAAAAGAAGTTTTTCGGTTCAGTTTTTCGGCTGAATTAACAAGTGAAGGTAAGTTGACTTTTGATGAATTCACCCAGTCAGTATTTCTGATGCTTGCGTCTCTGCAAGCCTAGTTACTATTCTTATCGTAACTGCCGATTGACAACTGTAATAGAATCCATTATGTGATATTATTTAATATCTTCACTGCATACCGTGATTAACATAATCGTAATTGTATGGGCATTCAGTCACTTTTTTGTCTAACGGGTAGAGATGCAGATAACTAGCCGTATAAAATACAAGAAGATATATTGTTGGGACCACTAGAACGCAGGAGTCATTTAGAGAACAGATTCGCGCGGATCAGACATATTAACAATATACGCCGTTTTATACACCGCTTCAGGCAGATGGCAATGTTCGAGCTGGCTAAAAAGCGTTTTACAACTCTGTAAACGAATGAAATTGGTTACGTATCAGTTTAACGTGTTTTTATAAAAAAAAAAAAAAAAAAAAAAACGGACGTATTGTTGACAAAAAGTACTGCAGCTTACTAATATTGTCACTGTTTTAATAATCTGTACACCCTATGGACCCAAGCTGTAAGCAAATACTTAACGCAGGCCTGCTTTTTTTCTATCATAAATTTTGTTTTTATCATTCTTTTTTTCATCTTTTTTTTTCTTTCGTCTTTTTTTATCATCAGAAACTTAGCAGAAGTCATTTAGAGACCAAGGTAATTCGTTATTAATAGAGAAGATGTAAACTGAGCGCGTGACGTTGAGCACAGCACGCTGATACTGGATTTGTATGTTTCGGCATATCTTTTCATTAGCAGACCATTTTAACCAAAAAAGATTCCTTTAGATTACATATCCCAGTCGTATGATCCGCAGTATCCGTTCATAATCGGCTCAGCAGGGATTCCCCGACGAATCATTCTGTAACTCAAACCGTCCATTATGTTTTTACTGTAATACCTACTTACTGCTTCGAATTTAGGGTGAGGGTTGGCTCATTGGGTAAGTATATATATATATATATATATATACACTAAAGGATCCTACGATCTCTGAATGGTGTGTACCTGCAGCGTTGCTCGTCAAGTCTCCATTTAGCCTCTTCTGGATCGTTCACATAAGACGCTGACCAGAGACGCTCCGCCACCGACGACGCGCGGGGCCTTTCGGTAAAAAACAGCACGAATTATCGAGCTAGTAGTCGTCTGCTAGAGGATCGACTGATAACCTTATCAACCATAGCCCGATAATACCTTATTAGCATGCCCAGTTTCCTAAAGGAATGTCTATATTAACGAGATCTATCGTTTAATTACCCGAGACGTGCATACGTTACATGCAATGTATTAAAAACCTGGCGAAAACTTAATTGTGCCGTTTATAAGCGGTGTTCTTACAGTGACCTATTAATCTAGATAGAACCTAATGGATGCACGTTTTTTATAAAATTGTATGCTTATTTGAAACTATGCATATATTTATTTATACTACGTTCTCACTGGGATCGGTTCTAACTGTATTCAAGATTGTGTAACGGGCTAGCAATTTATTTAGGGATGTCTGCAGAACCGAATGGGTTCGATTTATGAATAATAATCCACAGAGTTGAAATACAACTAAATTATAAAGCGTTAGACATCACATGTCAATGAAATTTTCGGAGGCACTAACCAGTATCTAGAAATGACGTTTGTTGCGTCCACAAATTCGCCCCACATGCAGGCTTCGCCGCCAATGACAAGTTTTTTCTCCTCGTCCGTCGCCTTGAAATCCGTAGGGTTTACCGTGTAGTACTAAAAAGACGTCAGCAGAGAAATGTCGGAAAATCGGAGGCGGACCAAAAAACTCCACGAATTTCTAGTTGATGTCAAGCAATATACGGAAAGCCTTTCGAGTCTTCTATCGTCAAAAGCACCTTTGGAAAAGTAGTGGCCGGTTGAAAATTCTAATTACTAAAACCCTTCATCTTCCTTTCATTTCAAGCCAGGAAAAAGTGTACGCCTGAAGACCAATATTTAGCCAGTACGAGTTTCTACTTTTTTCTTGCTTCTGAAAAGAATTTAGTCTGCGTACAGCTTATGAATTGAAACAAATCTATGCGTACGTTATCGACGTTGCCTCTAATTGCCGAAATCAACCCTCAGTAAAAAGCCTCCAATACACAGCTTGAAGAACTTGACAACGTTATGCATGCCTGCCTGTTTTGTACGTTTGTTGCTGTTAAGCATTAGTTTAAACGGTAGGGTTTAAATATCCGTATGTTGTATCTGGTTTCAAACCTATAACACTACGTACTCCTATATTTAGTCGGCGAACACGTCACCGCTGCACTATCACGAAAAGGGTTTCGTGTAGGAAATTTTCGAAATGACACCGAAGATTCTTCGAAAGCATATGAGGCAGAAAAGTAGAACATATTCAAGGTAAACCCCTCCGCAGAGCGCTGAGGTGACCTTTACAGTTGAACGAAGAATTTGAGCTTACTTCTATTCCTGGAATTGATTCATCCACGTTTAAATATATAGTTGTGTAATTCGGTCTACGTTCATCAATAGTAGTATAAATACACTCAAAAAACGACACAATGTATAATGTATTATTTATCACAAATAAGTCAAAACGCCGGAAGCCGGCGTGAGGGCACTGTTCTTCATGCTAGCTATTGGTAATGAATGATGCATTTATTACCTTCACCCAGTCTGCGCCATACTGGATATAATTTAGGTACCACGGAGCGGACAGCACGACTTGATAACCGTGTCTTACTGCCTGCTCTAAATTACGTCTCCAAGTTCCATTGGTACTGCGCCAAACTTCAATGATTGTGTCCGGCGCGGGCTGTAATAGGCGTCATTACATAGAAACACTAAAGTATTTTACCATTGCTTTTTTGCAGGATTTTACCAACAATTGCTTTGCAAAATCAATTCACTTCAATCACTTCCCAGCTTAGCAAAAACTTCCCGTGAATGGTATCAACTATTCCGATACGCATGTCGAAATATTATGCAATCATATTTGTTTCTCTAAACAGATAGCTCGCCTTTCCCCGTGCTACAGTATTGAGGACTATGTTGAGGGAAATGGGACTCTTACCTACCCTGACATTATTATCAAGTGGGTCTTGCCAGATCATGTACTTTGCCCCAAAAGCCTTTACGTTGTCCAAAGTTCTTTTTACATAGAACTGCTCCAGTCGGGATGCTGAAGTCATGTTGTGCGCTTTCATGAATTTACCTATTTCTGGGTTCGACTGCCTGTAAGCACACCAACTAATATTTAACACGACGCTTGATCGTTGAATTGGCTCCTGCACCACTAGTATGCATTAACGTCCTTTTAAATGTACTCGTAAAGACACGCAGTTTGGAACACCTCTCAAACCCTAACATCTGCTATATATTACTTTAAATTTTGATGAAATGATGAAAGGTTTGAGTGTCTATGTCACACAGTTGGCTGGCATTCCCAGTCCGGACCTTTGCTGTTTTAAGCGACACAATATTAACAGGCAAACAAACAAAACGCCATATGTAAAGATCTACCAAATATTTTAGTTTTCTAAAAGCAAATTTCTCAAGCGCGTTACAAGTTAGTGAAATCACTCGATTATTTTCAGCGTTTCAATTATAATGAAGCCGTACGGGATCTTGACACCTCTATACGTAACTGGGAACGACTTACCAACAGTCATAGTAGACTTCATCCATGCCCAGATGCATATAATTATCGGGGAAGGTCGCATTTACCTCTTGAAGAATTTTCTTCACAACGTTATAGGTATTATCTTGTGTTGGGTCAAGTATTTCGTGCGCAGAAAAATGAGGGTATCGAGATCCTTCCCGGCCATTCGGGTTGTAACACGCGGTAAGGATATCTGCCAAATGAAAAAGAACCGAAATTCAAAAGTGCTTAAGATGAGGAGTGAATTTACTAGACAATCAGTAGTATCTACTACAACTCATCTGCAAAATCTTTATAGATTTTATTTATTTACTTCTTTATAGAAGTACCTATAGAGCCTTGACGAAAAACCTACCAGGGAATACTTTTCCAAGAGCCTGTGAATGCCCTGGTGTGTCAACCTCAGGAATAACGCGAATACCACGTTCTCTGGCAAACTCAATGATCTCCTACAAGAGGAATATATTTATATACGTATAAATATATATTTACATAGATTTATATATAAATCGAAAACCTTTCATGCATACTTTTAAGCTCCCTCTTTTTGGATGCACTTGGTTAGCTAACAAAAAAACATGCAGTTACTGATTCGTCCTTCGTATAATTAATTAACTTTTATATCAGTGGCCTCGTATATCATTTATTCCCAACGCACCTGAACGTTTTCCTGACTATAGATAAGCTTTGGATGATATGCAGAATTTGTCAGATTGGGGAACACTTTCATTTGGTAAGGCCACGATTGATCGTCAACTATGTGCCAATGGAAAACATTAAATTTATTGTACGACATAGCTTCCTGCAATTAAAAAAAGGTATAAATTAGTTATATATCTCTCCAAGCCTACCAGTAATTTATGTTATCAACATATCGTTAGATTGAAGCTTCGGCAAAACCTGTAAACAAGTAATCGAAATTCGTTTTTTTTTTCGGTATTTCTAGAAAATATTCCAACGTAACGTCGCAATCGTATTATTATTATTGTTTAAGTTTAATAGTATAGTTTGCTAACTTTCAGTGCTGGTAGCATAGGGAACACGGACTTAGATAATCGAACCTATATTTTAGAACGTGTCAACTTGTGGTACTTACCAAGTTCCGCTTAAGGGTCTTCATCGGCAAAAAATGTCTGGCGGTGTCGAGGTGAATTCCACGGAAGCCGAAGCGTGGCCAATCCCACACACTCGATTCATTTATAAAGTACTAGGTAGCCAAACGCGGGTAACAAAAACGTAAAAAATCGACGACAGTGGCGTTAGATAGGTCGTTGCCGAACGACAAATCCAAACATTATATATGCTCGATAATAATTGCATATTAAGTTTAAATACGAATCGAATGTTTGGAATAATATGCAACCTTGATTTAACTATCAGTACCTCGTAGTAGCATAGGGGGACTTGCCATGCTTGCGACAATAGGCGTTTGTTTCTAATTGCAGGTTAAGACAAAATACACGGTTTTTCAGTCGGAAAACAGGTCTTCGCGTCGGTCGTCAGTGTGTTTGTTAGTGAAAAAGCAATTACTACTAAATGGAAACTGTTCCATCTCCTTACGTGATTGGTATTTTCATCGATGTATACGAGCTGCGAGAAGGTCTCGAGACCCCGGAGAACTCCCCACGGGCTGTTCGATCGTAGAGTCGCTTGACGAAGCTTCGAGTCAATTGTTAATGCGTCTGTTTGTTCAAAGATGTCAAAACAAGTTTTTTAGAAGGATAAACAGATGTATGTTGTGTGAAACAACCGATTTTTCAATTTCACTTTTCTTACATGATTCATCCATGCCATGTTGTGGGTATGTACAGTCGGCTTTTTCCGTCAGATCTACGTTTAGACTCCGTAGACGGGGATGACATGACGGACTTGGTACTGACTCCTGAATAAAGATCAGTTTTCGATAGCGAACAAAGGCCTGAAGAATAAAGTGAATTATTGCATGATACGTAAGTGGAAAGTTCCGTAGACGACTTGAAAACGAATATGCGTATTTTCTTTGTTCCCAAACTATCTTACGGACATTTCGAGCTTTTCCACAAATAAAAAAAAAAAAAAAATGTTAAACATCAAATATGAAATACTCTAGTTGTTTTTACCACAACTGAAAGAAAATTTAATTTTACATAGAATGAAGTTATTTAAACTATACGCTTCTCATAACTGCTAATTAAATTGAAATGCAACACTATTTGTAGATATCAGTTATACTCCTAACCTTACTAATAATGTCGCAGTCGTCTATGTTACTGTTGAAATGAAAAGAATCAGGCCGAAGCTCATAAAGATTCGGACTCGCCGCGTAGGACTGGGGCATCGGCCAGGGTGAACCTGGTGGAGGCGGTGAACCCTAAAATAGGATCGTAAAGGAAAATCATTCAAAATAATTAAAATGTAAAAATAAAATTACAACATTTTGAAGTATACCAAGTTTTAGATCCTCTTTATCTGGGTGCAATTAAATTACTCATTTTAAAATTTCAGCATCATCTCAATTACTACTGAATCGACGTCTCTTATACGCAGATCATTGAAGGTATTCACGCTGAGGGTTGTCAAACCTAAAATGTATGGCCTTATGCCTTTTCCCATTAGCCATGAGTCAGTTTCAGCTAGTTTGTTATAGCAAAATCACATGCCAGGAATCAATATCAGCCAGTCTCTTGTGATGCGACGATGTACATCAGATACGAAAGCGTGTTAAAAACGAGCCAAGTGTCGCAGTTAAGTAAAAACGATCCTGCAAAAATATTCTTTATTTTTAATTGTACTATTCGGAGGCATAGAAAAACGTGCTCCTACTTAATTGACTGCTGCAGTAGTAAAAAAAATTTCGAGAACTTGAAGAATTATTAACATAGCTACGTTTGTTCCCGAAAATATCACGATTACACAGCAAACAAAATCACTTGAAAGTTTCTCAAAACTACAAAAGTGGTAAAGTTAATTTAAATTAAGTCAAGTAAAATACGAACAGGCTTCTTTATGAAGTTAAAAGAACTGCCTTATTTCGGTCGTCCCCAAGTTCATGACCAACGAAAACCTCAATGGACTAGAGGAAACGGTCGTAAGCTGTTAACACATCTCTAATTACTATGCGGGAATTACTATGCCCCTGCATGTGTCAAAGTTTCAATTATTCTAATTTGAGCACGCTGAACTTTGCCGAAAGTGAGCTAAAGTAAAAAACAACCCTCCAATTTTCACTTCGTAGACGGTTTTTTCGGGTTGTTGAAACAACAGAAAATCAAATTGCACATTGTTTTAGGTCTATAATAGCTACACTATAGCAGGCAAACGAAATGTATGGGAATAAACATTGGATTTTCTTTCGAGCATTTTCGCAGGCCTTCTACAACTGTTTTAAGTTGAAAAAGCTGGTTCCTTCTAAGTAGTAACTTTTACGCCGCAGCAGCATACGATCATAAAACATTGCTTCGAGGCCTTCCTGGTACTGTCAACGTACCAGGACGGTCAGGAACAGTCAACGGACTGTTCTGTTGATGAGGCATAAACCAGAGCAGGATTTCCCCTCTCATTATTTATAAGCAATTAGATTACACGCGTACAGATCCAGGCGTACCCAAGAGCCAACTAAAGTGTCTTTCACAGGCCCTTAGTATTCTATTTTGATAGGCAGAATCAATTTATCTGCAGAGAATTTTCCCGTTGCACATACCTGTGCTAGGCTTACCTGTGGGCCATGTCACTCTCTGGACTGACACAATTTTATTTCTTTAATAAACATTCGGTGCAATCCTACACGAGGATATTGTAATGCAAATATTAAAATCTAATTATTCGATTAGAACTAAATTATAATAACTAAATTATTTACGGTACTAAATTCGCCTTTTTACAGAGTAAATGCCATCATCTTTATCTTCGGTTAAACGAAGAGCAGCCGAGCATCTTCTAATGTTCCTAAATCTTCATAGATTCAATGGCTTAGATTGGTCCAAGTGCATTCATTTAGGTGTTTAACTGAGAGAGTTTCATCTAAGTTATATCAATTTTTCTATGAAAAAAAACTGTCATCTCCCTATGCACTTTATGACACTATTCAATATATGTACCTCAACATATAACCACTCATATGCACTTCAGCTATAAAAATGCTTCTAAACTATTTTTAAAAATTTTTCTATCGAATGTAGATACAATGAATCTTGGCTGCCGAGAATAAAAAATTGATACCTTACCGTCATTAGACCTCGAAGAGCATCCATTTTATCTGATGGAATTGTCTTCCACTTTGCTCAGTTGATTATATACGCATTTCAGCGTACATCGAAGAAAAAGCAGAATCAGAATTACACGATCTTACCTTAAGCGGGTTCCTGGGCTCCATGTAGGTTATGTGAGCGTTACATGGTCCAAATGAACCAAACGCCAGCACCACTAGGACTACACAGGCAGATGTACTACTTAATCTATTGGAGACGCCCATCAGTATTTGTTGTACACTCACTATGGTCGAACGTAGAAGCACGAACCGTCTTCAACTTCGTTGCTTTGCGCAAATGCTGTTTTCTATATATCATAGTTAATCTTATGAGACACGCGTTCTAAGGTCGTTATGAAAAGTAACACACTAGATGGCTGTTCTAAATTTTTTCAGCTCTTTTTAGTAACAGCTAATTAAGAAATTACCCGGGAATGTCTGTAGAAACCCAATGCACGTTATAGCCTCACAGCGTGTCGTTGATGTAAACTGACGCGTCGATAGGGCACGAAATATCGCTGAGATAGTAGCTGGAATTGAGCCGACGTTAGCGACCACAAAAGTGGCTTCTTCCTCTTTTCGTCAATCATCGCTTTTTTCTTGCTCGTTAGATAGCGAATTAATACCCCTTCCTCGCCGAAACAATCCCTGTGTGCCATCTATATGTGTTATACATATTCATACTAATTTTCTTATCAGTTTATCGCGTTGTTTACGGAATCAATATCGTGCATTAGGTGCTGTTACCATGTTCGCCGCGCCACTGCTCGAGACGGTATTTTATACCAAACCGAATGGATATTCTTTTGTTTTGCCATACCATTAGATGGGCTGGTGGCAATGAAAGCTAAATGTAATGAGTGCGCTATTGAATGAAGATCCAGAGTTCATCATATTCAGAGATAAGGAAAATTGCAGGAGACCGAACAAAGTCATGCCATGCCATATAGATGTTAGTCGTAAAAAGAAGTACCCTTGTATCGTCCCTCCTCCGGGTCAGCTTGATGAAATCAATAAAGCGAACAACCATTAAAACCAATTCTCTCGTCGTATCGCAACATTTCCTTTGAAGATAATAAAACGCATGTAAATCATGCTTCCACAAGAGTTTTCAAAAAGTAGAAAAAACCAATATTGCAGCAGTCGGTCTAGTATTAATTCTGGTTTGATCGCAGTCGGACCCATACGCGTCAAACTAAGCATCGTATGAGTGGACCAATGCAGTAGCGTGGTTTTACTTTTGCCCACATGGTGGCATACTTGTTCCTTTCTAAGGCTCTATCGCATCTGTTCCCTGTAATGGCCTCTCGTGTACGATATTCTATAGCGACAACAGTTGCTGCTCGAGACGTAATTCTCAGTTGTTATCATTAATTCAGCGGCACAGACCAAGCAATGGCACTGGAAGACGATTCGTCAGACTGCAGGGATAGATTCCATCCACGACAAGCACTAAGAGTGCATGGTCTCCAAATAAGTAAGGTACAGACCGAGGCCATGAAGTTCTCGAGAGCAGATAGCCTCACAAGCACTGATTCGTTTGACCTGCATGGAGAAAGCCCAAAATAGCTGACTTCTCCATGTAACTTGGCTTAATCATAGCAGCGTCTCGTAGATCTTTCATAGTACTCATCGAAGAAGTGTCGGAGTGGCGGTCATAGCAGCAGTCGCTGTTGAAAATCATTAAAAACGATTGGTGTGCATGACGATCCAACTGTTCAATTTGGAGCCCACGCAGAACTGTCACGTACAGCTCGAAGAAGCTAAACATTTGAGATCAAGCGATCTTACGAGCTAAACCTGCGGTGCCAAAACTCGCTTTCGACCTAATAACCCAAACCGTTTGGTGTACGTATTGGTCGATATCTTATCGTTCCTTAAAACTATCCATACAACGCTATACACGAAACAGTAACATGATTTCCCTAACAGCTGTAGGTTAGAAAAAACGAAAATTGATGTTTCCTTCATTATGCTGCCAGCCATAAGGGGATACGATGGTCGGGAACGTACAAGCAAAGATAGTCGTCGCAAGGTAACTAGGTTTCTGGTCAACGATTTGCAATACACAGCAGTACTGCGAGCTAAATAGTAGCTACATTTAAAGACTGTGCTTTAAAACAGCATGCTTTAAATCCTACTGAACACGGTCGTGAGTAAATTGTTTATAATTTACTAACGAATTCGTTCGATCTTGAAATTCTTCGAAAAATCATCCAATATTTGTAGGACTTAGTAATCGTGTTAGAGGGAGTTCGGCAAATACACACCTTGTTTTTGAAGTAAACAGTGATGAATGGGATTTTTCAGTGGCGTTTTCTATGTTCGGCAATAGCATTGACAGCGTGGAAGCAACTTAACAGGTACGCATGCGTTACATGGTTTTTGATACGAGTTCGCCCGACCACAAAGGTGTTAAACGTAACAATACATAATATCTAGTGACAAACCCATAGCGGCTGCGAAAAGGCGAAGCGTAGACTCACTCACATAATTGACGAGCCGGATATTTTGTTAGAATGATGTACATGCATATATAAGAAAGCACACATCTTGCTAACTGAATAACGCTATGTTATTTTAGCTTAAATTAACGTTTAGTACAAACTTCTTCACGTCCTTATTGCCAATTGCACGAGATGTCACCATCATGAGCAATAACACCCGAAACCGTTGCTTCAAGTTCTACCTAGAGACATGGCGCATATAATGTGGCCAACGGAAGATATCCTCATAAGTTTCGAAAGGCCAGCTAATTCATTGCTAGCTGAAAAATTCATTTATGCAGATTCGTTTTATATGCACCCATATCACATTCATGCTTAGACCGACGACAAATAGTCCTCTAAAGAACAAATATGAACGATGTTTACACCTATGACGTGGTCCGCAAACCCAAAAACGTAGACAGAATTATGTTAGACACAACACTTCGTTGTTCTGTTCAATGTAAATTAAGTATGCACAGTTTATCCCATCGTAGTTTTCGCTGTATACGTAACTACCCGTCCACTATCAGATACAAAATGTATTGGAGTTGTTTGAAAATACGGCTTCTGACTTAAACGACCTTTGTTTTGTGGGATATTTCTCTCTCGTTTTAGGTTTAGGCCGTAAAGTTAAGCGTGGATCTATCATGAATCAGTAGATGTGAACGGGTCGGGGTCGATATAAGGGAGCAAACTGACAAATCTGATCTTGAGCGGAACTAATTGGAGCTCAATTAACAGATCTATTTGACTTCATTTTACCATCTTGGATATTTTTATTCGTTACAAAAAGTGTCAGACTCTGTTTGAAAAGCTGTTCCTACAAACGTACTATCACGATTCAAAAAATGTTCCGCGACGCTCAAATGAACCGATATTATAACACTCATATTATCAATTGAGACTAAGATAAAATCTATGAAAAAAGACGTCCATTATACCATACAAGCTAGAGAACGACTAGTCACTTTTTTATATATGCAAGGGTCAACTTCTATTTGATTCCTATTTTTGGATAATACCATTTGTAGATCAAAAAAGATCAAGTATAGCGAGCTTTCCTAAAAGTTGGCCAACTTAATTAAAAAATCGTTCCAGACTTCCATAAAATCACCAAAATGTGATGTCCTATAAAATATGGGCTCTTCCTTCTTGTCTTAATGTGCATTTGATTCTTTACAGAGAAATACGGAGTTTGTAAAAGGGGCTACCCTCAAAGCTATCAGGGCCTTTTTTTCCGATAAGGCTGTATTGGCGCATTCAAGTCCGCGAATGGTTCCTGTAACCTATTGCAAATTATACCCCAACACGATATGACTTGGGAAAGATGACTTTAACTATTGTGTGTGTGTAGAAAAGAAAAAGCGGCAGTTTCCTTTCCACAATAAGGCCACCTAAAAGTTTCCACTCCAGATATCACCTTTATCGGATGATGTTAGTCAGTGAAATTTCGTACGATACACCTACGACGAACCGATAAGAGACGAGATGTAACCGCTCAGTTTCGTTGTATGCAGTGTTGCGTTGTACGAGTTATATTTTTGTTAAAAAAAACGAATTTTCTCGCTCACTCGTATTACTCTATTACATTTTTGACAAAATTCAACGTTTCCTGAGCTTCATTTCACATCATCCATTTATTATGGTGATAGCGTAAACATGCATTGTAGATCCTTAAATAGACCACCAGTAACCGTTCGAAGAAGGACGATAATATCGTTAAAACAAGAGAACATATTACCTTTATTTTTTGGGGTAAAGGGGTCACAATCATAACATTGTTTAATAATTCACAATATGGGTATACACCATTCCTATAATACACACGACTAGTATTTTGACTGTTTTATTTTTACCAGCAGTATTATGTTATTTGTGTCGTATTATTACTTGTCAATATTTGAAGATGTTATAATCACGGTTGTTGAAATAAAATAGCACAAGTAATCAAAAGCAATAGTTATTTCTGCACTGTTAACAATGATAAATATAGCTAAAGCTAAATTCAGCATTACCTTATGTTTTCTCCCTTCTATTGCAACTCTCATTCGCTATTACATAATGTACAACACACAGTTTCAACACGATTATTACCACAACTCGTCCCTGTTCCTCATCCATATCACCATTGTTACTATTAGTTTCATACGACTATTCAAGTGTTAATGATCAAACGCTGCGAGCCATCTATAATAGCTATCGGTAAGCCGTAGGATCGGTGGCGTCGTCGGATACGATCAGCCGATTATGACATCAATGTCGGACTACAATGCCAAAAGAAACGACGTTTTTATTATGTTCTGTCCGCTGCGTCACGTACAACGATCACCGGATCGTTACTAGACTAGGTATCCAATGCCCACTATCGTCCTCCTATCGCCAGATAACACGATGGACACCTTGGTGGTGCTGTCTAATTTGTAGTTTGTCAGGAGCATGACCGACGATGAATACGAGCACTTGGTTGTTCTTAGAATTTTGTTTCGTGATAATTCTCTCATGAAACAACATGGCGTTTAGTTAAACTTGAGAGGCTTGTTTTTTTGTCCCACCAGTGCCTTATCAGTTAATTAAATAAAACCTATAGAAATGCCTGTTCTGTAAATATTGCAGAGCTGCCTTTAAGACCATTAGCATTGTCGTACAATGAAAAATTTCCTGAAGATGAGATGATTTCTCTAAGTAATTCTTTTTGCGTGACTGAATGGATATGAGCAGTGAGATATCGTGGGCACTAGTACTCGAATAGCTTAGGGAATTTCTTAAATGCCAAAGCGAAAAAATGCACAACGTTAGAGCATTTCAGTGAGCATTCTAAGACAGAGCGTGTCTTCTTTCAACGTGTCTGATCGTTCGTGCTCACTTTCATTCATCTCGTCGCTAGTGCCTTTTCACGGGAAAGTCGGCCGACAATCGTCGGATTCAACTGATTTCTGTTGACCTGATTTACCCGCCTTGACCTAAACAACCAGCACACGGATAGATAACACAAGTTTTCATAAGGTTTCACAAGGTGCTCATAGCTCTATGCGCTGATACCGATATGTGCATTACCATATCTAGCCGATAACATCTTCCTGTTATAATCTCAAAACGATAGCTCTACAGTGAGAATAGCTATTATGTGCCGCACCAAATTCGCACAGAAGGAAACATCTCACACACGATTTGGTTTCTCTTCTCACTAGTTAATTAGTAGCTCGAATTGGATACGGGTTAGCGAGCTTCATCTATATAGTCGATATGGCGGGAGAAAGATCTACGCAAGAGGAACAGTTGTCAGTAGCCATCAGAGAAAACTTCATCGACTGTTTATAAAGCCAAAACTGGTTCCTCGACTTAAACAATTTCTCCTAGGATCACTAGGAGTATCGGTAAGTTGGGGAATTAGGCGAGCACTCCAATGCTTGTTTCCATGTCAGTAACGATGACCAGCTCGGCTTAGCGATAGCTTCCCAATATAGTGCTATACGCCCTATATATTACTATATGTATCATATGTATATTAAAGCTTAATTGCACGTATACACACCTAATAAAAGAGATAATCATAGATAATAAGAGTCCGGCAGTTAAATTGTATCAGCAATACTAATAGAGGAATATGAGCGTTTCGTGTGTTTTTCTATTCCAGGCTCATGGTATAGTAACTAAGTCGTAATCGAAAACAGCAGTGTACAGTGACATCCGGTAGATTCTGGACGAATGATTAGGTCAATTGTATGTTCAATGCGCACTGAGCGAGTCGGCCTATTTTTAGTAATAGGAAGGACAAAGTTCACTGCAATCCATATAGGGCATGTATATTCCATAACGTCGTAGACAACCACGAAAACAATGCTACAAGGCATGGCTGAAAGAATATGAATTGTCTTCAAAAAATTCAACCCCAATATTAGCCCGAATTGTTGTTTCGGTCTCTTAGCCAGCTCAAGAGTTCAAAAAACGGCTTCGTTCAAGAGAGAATGAAGCCGTTTTTTACGCCGCTCCGCTCACTCTCACCGATATTACAGCGAACTTTAGGGTTAATCTCTATAGAAACAACAAACCATTACAAATTCACAAAGATTGTGCTTCTTACTTTTCTAAAAACTTCTCCAATGCGTTGCACATGGCAAAAAATAGTTGAAAATGAGGTCGATAATAAAAAATCCTCAGTGTCATAGTTAGTGTCGCTTCAACAGTTTACTACTACACGTTGCAGTACAAAAAAAAAAATCGATTTTTTAATGCGATGAACGTACTATCGAGAATGCATTAGCTGCTAGCTACGAGGATCCGTAACAGGTACTGAAAGTGGATAGGTCTCGTTTAAATTAATATGGCAAAATTGGTCACCGAACGAGGAGTAGACGCACTAAAAACAAAAAAAAAAAAACTTCTTAACAATGTACGAAAGATAATGCCACACAGAACACCTGTCAATAAAAAGTAGCAGCGAATTATAATAAGTAACTTGCATAGCTCAATGTAACCATAAACCAAACGACATACTACTCACAGGCTGACCTCTTGCTCTCGTTGCTCTAATAACAGCTACTTATTGCCCCAGATTATCTACGTCTAAATATGATAATTACGTTCTCCCCTTCCCTCTCTAACTAGCTCTCTGTCTCTCTAACTCTCTCTCTCTCTCTCTCTCTCTCTCTATATATATATATATATATATATATATCAAGTACAACTACTTTATGGACCAGCTACATTTACACATAGACAAATAATTTGTATTCTAGCTCGTACATCGCTGCAGCATGTGTGCCACGATAATAGATATTGTTATTATAACAAAATTCTTCTGTTCGGAGGCAACCTGCAATTTAACAGCTGATACCACCACCATCATTCATATGTATTTTTTGCGTTCGTGTCTATGATTTGTACATACATATA